CGCACTCACCTGCAGAAAGTGCTGCACGCTCTCGAGCAGCATGCCGTACATGGTGACACCTCCCTGCGCACCGACAGGCGACTGGCGTGCGGCGAGATGTTGTGGCGGGGGGAGGTGGCGCCCGAGCTGCAGCGCGACCTTCCGCGGCGGGGGGTGAGCAGAGGCGCGGCCTCCGCTGCTGTCCCAGGGCTGAGCACCGAGCCGGCGGCCACGTCGAACGTCGCGTGCATCCCCTGCCTCGCAGCGGGGACCGCCGGCGGCTGGCCGTCCTGGCCGTCCTGGCCGTCCTGGCCGTCCTCGTCAGGGTACGGCGGTGGAGGGGTGTAGCTGACCTCCCAGTCCACCGGATGATCCTCCTCCTCGCCGGACTCGTCGTCGGAGGAGGACGAGACGTCCGCGCTCCAGGACAGGTTGGCGTTGGCCCGGGCGGGCGAGAGCGGCGACCCGCTGTCCCACATGCTCACCTCCACGGCGGGGAGGGTGACGTGCTCGGCGTCCTGGTCGCGGCTCGCGTCCGGCGCTTTGAAGCTGTGGCCACATCCCGAGCTACTCGTCGGCGTGGAGGCGGTGGTCTCGCTATTCACAGGGCTAATGTTGGCGCGGAGCATGCCGAACGAGTCCAGCACGGAGCAGTCGACGCCGTCGTGGAGCGCTCTGCGGCTCGCCGGCCGGTCTGGTGTGGGCAAGGACGCGGGGCACATGCTGAGGATGTCGGGGCGCTCGAACAGCGCGTCCATGGGGCTGACGGGATCCACGGCGGGGAGGGCAAGCGGCCCCGAGGGGGTGCGCTGTAGCGGGCCGCCCGCGTTGAGGCGGCTGGCCTCCGCGGTCTCGCTCTGCGTCCGCGCGCGGTCCCAGCCTTCGGCTCGGCGGCACCAGCTGCCCGCGCGGCCGCGGGGCTCGTTGGTCGACGACGGCGACGTGCCTTTGGCGGACGACGGCGACGTGCCTCTGGCGGCCTTGGGCGTGACGTAGGGCGTCGGCGGGCCGGTGCTGGGCGGGGTTGGAGCGTCCAGCAGGGCCAGTGCCAGCACGCGATCGTCGGTGACGGAGTGCTGCACGTCGGCCAGGGCCGGCGAGGAGGCCGAGGAGGCCAGGTCACCGCAGGAGGTGGTCAGCGACATCTGCAAGCAGAGAGAGAGTGCAGGGTTAGAGGACCGTGCTCGGGCGAACCGTGGCGATGCGTCGAAGAGGTGCGGGTACCCGCGCGGGAAGCGGGGCGCCCCCCCCCCGCCTCCTGCCAGCGGCGCGGACGCGCTCAAAGTCACCCGCTAGCCTCTTCCAGGAAGCGTGCTCCATTAGAGTTATTGTGCAGGGGGTGTGCGCAGGCCTCGCCGGGAGGGGCTTGGCGGGCGGCAGCTCACGTCAACCCCGCCCAGTCGCGGTTTACGCAGCAGCCAGAGAACTGGTGGAAATGCAGCCATACACATATCGCTCGTCTCTCACTCAGAAGCAAGAGCGGCGCGGCGATTCTAGTGAACACCAAGCATCCTAATTTGGGCGACTCTCGTGAAACCAAAAGGATCGTTGCGCGCGACTCTGTTGGGACCACATATCACTATTTTTGCGTGATTTTCTAAACCTAAAGTAGAAAATTTCCCAGACTCTGGGGGTTTTAGTTGATTTCCGGAAACTTTCGTGGATTTTTCGGAAAATTTTCCGAAATTTTTTGAAATTTTCAACTCTACGCGAGACTGGCTTTTTTCGCACAAGGGCAGCCTCCCCTCCCGTAGCCCCTCTTCCGCGCTCGCACCTTGATCCTCCTCACCGCCTCCCGACCCTCCTTCTCGGCTGTACACGGCTGTCCTCCAAATTGGACGCCGTTTTTGTCGGTGCGACACAGCTGGAGGGGCGCAACTCCAACCCCCTCATGGACATGAAAAAGAGATTAGCTGTCGTAGATAAGCCAATGGCTAAATACGGGATACCTAATTATTTGGCTATGTTGCTAAAATTGTACATACGTGTACATAAACATTTCACAGCACCGCTAAAAATAGTTAGCTTACTACACAGTGTAAAAAATCATCTAATACTACGGTACTGGTAACGGACATTCCGTTATAGCATATTTCAAAAAAGAGATAGGGAAGGACCGTTTGAGTTCGACCATGTAACTAAAGTTAGGGTACGGACGTGTCCGGAAAATAATTGCCGCTTATATCCGTTAAATACGTGATACGGTTGATCCGCACCCCAAAAATGAGGTACGGAACAACCCGGAACAACCGTTTTTCTTCGACCGTACGATTAAATTTAGGGTACGGACACGTCCGGAAAATAATTGCCGCTGTCGTCCGTTGATTTTCCGTTGTTTTTTCTTACAGTGCAGAAATCTTTAGCTGGACAGCTTATTTTAAACTCAATAGCTAAATGAATAATTATATAATCCGCATACTTAGCTCGCTAATAATTCTTTTTTTTTCTTTTCTCGAGTGACTGCGAAGGTAGTGTGCAGATCCCAGTCTTGCAAAAAGGGAACCTTTTGAGGTAGAAATCTTAGTGTGCTAAAACTCGGAAAATTTGAGGTTAACCAATATAGAGGTCGGATGGCACTTGCAATTTTTCCTTCACCTCAGAGCCAGAACAAACCCCTTTATGTTGAGGCTTTTATACACGACTTGAAGAATACAACCCTGTATTTTGAAATTTCTAAGTCCTGCTCTAAAGGGTAAGTCGTCACAAGTAACGCTCTTTGAACCCAATTTTGCTGAGGGCTAATTTGACAGTCTAAACTGTAGAACTACACAGTTTGCAGTTTAAACTGTCATCTTGTTATTTAGTTAGATTTGCAGAGTGCTGTCAATTCAAGCCAACATTTTCAGACACTAGCGTTAGAAAGAAAAAAATAAAGATGAAGGATCGTACAGAAAGTACAACCGTTTTTCTCGGATTCATTCGTCAATTTACGGAAGTTCGGCGCCTGTAGCATTCAGGGCAGGCGACCCCGCACTACACGCATGCCGTGCAGGCAAGATGTTGCCTATCTACCTGGCACTACACAGCGAAGGACGAGCGCACTTCCTGGATGAACTCTAAGCGATATGCCGTTGAATTTACCGGGTACGGGTACCCACTTACCCTTCGCTACAAGACCCGCCGCCGTCGACCTGGTTGCTGCGGGTACTCGCACTCACCTGCAGAAAGTGCTGCACGCTCTCGAGCAGCATGCCGTACATGGTGACACCTCCCTGCGCACCGACAGGCGACTGGCGTGCGGCGAGATGTTGTGGCGGGGGGAGGTGGCGCCCGAGCTGCAGCGCGACCTTCCGCGGCGGGGGGTGAGCAGAGGCGCGGCCTCCGCTGCTGTCCCAGGGCTGAGCACCGAGCCGGCGGCCACGTCGAACGTCGCGTGCATCCCCTGCCTCGCAGCGGGGACCGCCGGCGGCTGGCCGTCCTGGCCGTCCTGGCCGTCCTGGCCGTCCTCGTCAGGGTACGGCGGTGGAGGGGTGTAGCTGACCTCCCAGTCCACCGGATGATCCTCCTCCTC